TTACATACATATTTCCATAACCCCCAAAAAAAAGGGGTTTAAATTATGGATCCATAACATATCCAACAGGTAAAGCCCCAAACATTAATTATAGAAAAAATAATTATGGAAAAAAAAATAATTATGAAAAAAAAAAAATAATAATTATGGAAAAACCGGTCAATCTACCCTAGCCCCCTAATTTTACAAGAAAAATTAAGAAAAATTAATTATAAAAATAATGGCCACCTCCAAGAATTATAAAAAAAAAAAGGTTCGAATCACTTCCGGGATATTTTAAACCCTTATAGGGAAAAACCTAATTATGGAAAAATCGGACGCAGGCACCGCCTGTCTAAATTATTTTATTTTATTTTTTTCCATAATTTTGTCGGTTATTATAATATTATATAATATAATTTATAATTAATATTATAATTATTATTATATAATTTATAATAATAAATATTTAATTTTTAATAAATATAATTATATTTTAATATATATATTCTTTAAAAAAATAATAATAATAATAAATAAAAAATAATAATTTATATATTATTTAATATATATTTAATTTATTAAATTTAAATTATTTAATCCGAATTTTTTATTATAATATATTATAAAATTTTATATAATTTTTATTTTTTAATAATTTCAAAAATTATTTATTTTATATATAATTTAATAAATAATAATAAAATTACCAAATTATATTAGTTTCCAATACCAAAGAATTCCTCTAAATATCAAATATGGATAAAAAATGTCGTCTGCAGGGGTCACAATGTTATAATGGGTATCCCTTTGATTCCTATTTTTTTCGGTTGGCAATCTGAATCGATATGAAGGGGTCTGCTGAAACGGTCGCGGAGGTCATGCGGAGCCACCTGCAAAGCCTGCCAGTACATCTGGATGAATGCCAATAATTTACCAACGTGAAAAAGTTCGGACATTTTGGATAGAGACTCCTACTTACCATCATTCCAGCTCTTCCTCCGGATCACATGCCCATCTGTTTGACCAGTCAGTTTGCATGACTCTGAGGCAGGTTCTCGCAGAGAATTTCTCCCATGTGCTCGATACAGCTGACCTTAATGCGTTTCCAACGACAAAGTGAAAACCTGCAATATCCGCCAGTGGAGCAAAGAGTCCAAGTGAAGTTCGATTGAAGTTTAGAGGTTCCTTTCTGAGGCGCAAGCAGAACGCTAACATCTTTGCTATCGCCCTTGGCTTTGATCGCCTTGACCTCATTCCGAAAGGATCCGAAAAGTATCAATCTGAGATGCATCGGGATAACACGCAGACAGAAGAAAAACCATGGGACCAAGAGTTCCATTGCTGTACATTTGAGTCCATATCAATTTTGTAGCACACATTTACCCACCATCACGCCAAACTTAAGCGATTCTCAAGTAATCAATTTCCGACACCTGCAATCTGAGGAGCACCTGAAGGTTGCTTGAGTCAAAAGCCATCTATAATCTCCAGGATAAGATCCGAGCAAGGACACAGAATTCCTCAAAGCTGATGGCATCATTTCCATCGTGGTCCACCGCCGCAAACAGCGCGTTGACTTCGGCATCATTGAGATCCTGGGGTCGAGTCCAGTGGCGGCCCATGCCACTTTTTCTGCAGATTGAGCGAATCTGAAAGTCCTCACCCATCAACTTCATGGCTTCTTTGAGCTCATTCACATCTATCCTTCGCAACGCGAATCTTTGATATTTTTGACATTCAGAAATATTCAGAATATGTCTGAATAATGGAGGCGCCAGTAATGACTCGAATTTCAATCACACCTCCCATTCTCATCCGAATCGAAGAATTTGTAGGCCTTTTGCATTTGCTTGTCTGTCCTGGGTGTGCGAAATTCACCAAGAAATCATCAACAATTGACAAAAAAAAGATATCGCAGTCACTACTCCATGCACTTCCGCAAACAGCTTCTGTCTGGTCAACGTTCATGTGTTTCTTTCATTGACGATTGAGAAGCAGACTGGCCACAGAACAGGGCGCGACAAATGGCCAATGCCTTAGAGGTCTGGCGCCCAGAATGGGATGAAAACGAGCACATCGTCGAAAAGTGGTGAAACAAATCAATACATGATTAAAACATGATAAAAATGGAGCTAATAGATCATACAATCACGAGGCTCATGCAAATTGTGAAGAGACACATAAAAATGTCCCAGAAACCAAAAGTGGCTAATTTAAAGGTGCTGAGCTGCTGAGGTGGTGTCAAACTAGTGGCTACTGTGCTATCAGGGGTCTTGTGATGAAAATATGAGCAGGCTATATGTGTTTGTTGCTCACCTCAAGCCCAACTTCCACAGCTTGTTTCTATAATTCCAAGCAAAACAACTAATCTGGTGGAACGGACGTCCGTGTAAATTGATTAGCGGAAATCCCATGGCAAATGCCCCAAGGTTCTCTCCCTGCAACCGTCAGATCATGGTCTTTGCACAATCTCGGCCCATTGAGCACTTTAAGTTTCGGTGTCTTTGATGTGCGCTATATTCTCCTCTTTCATGTCTTTTGCGCCCATCATTTTGTTGGAACAAAACACACAGAAAGAACACGTTTTTGCTGGTGAGTTTTATAAGTACAGTACCTGTTCTTGACCCATTTGGGGATGGGTCAAAATTGGGGTATGCAAAGATGCAAATGGCGGCGGGTAAAATGACAAGAATCTGTGGGTCTCTCTGTCGTCTATGATCCACACCATTTCCCCTCCCCAATTTTGATGAATCTCGCCGGTTGGTCAATTTCCCTTGCGTTCTTGGCAAGCACCCTCACTTTATGCTTAAAAATTCACCTATCATGATATATGACTCAAGAGCTCTGATATTAATGTATATGGGTTTGTCTCAAAAGGGCGGATACCCCATGGAAATTTGAGTGGGAAAATGATGATAAACATGGATAAACATTAATAAACCATGGAAACCATGGTAGAAAATCAGATTTTGCCGTTGGGAACTGAGCAGTTCCTAAGGTCTTCGCCATGGCCTCACTGTAGCCCGCTTCCATCATTTTCTTCAGGACGACCTCGGCAGAATTGCTCATGCTTTCCTCAAACAACCATTTGTTGCGTAGGGAATCTGCGCTACCATACTACATCCTAATAATCATTCATAATAACTGATGTTTGGTGGTTTAGGGTTCCAAGTTGAAATTGATTCAACTTGTTGCCACTTGGTTCAGGCCGCAACCCCAGCTTTTCGCATTTCAAAAGGACCTCACTGGTGTGGCATGGCATCACACCAGTCTGTGTCAAAATTCTGTCCAAAACATTCCCAAACCAATTGATCTGCCATCCCTCGATCGACAAATCTGGGACTTGGAACAACATGTGACGCATCCGTCCATCAATGAGACCCGAGCTTAAACCAGGTAGATTGGCAGACCATGCTGTTGAGACAGCTGAAAGGGCAGCACCAGTTCCTCGTGAGACACCAGGATTTTGCAACCAGCTTCATCTTCTTATCACTCAAAGGTGATGTGTGCCACTCAATATCTGGCAAAATTTTGACTATATGTGGCTATGCATCAAAATGTCAGGCACAAAAAACCAAACAAACAAAAACAAACATATATCAACATATATATCAACAAATATGGAGGTTTCCTGAAATGGGGATACCCCCAGTCATCATTCATTTTAATAGGATTTTCTATGAAATAAACCATCCAGCTATGGAAAGCTCCAGGGCCCCCCCCTACGTGACCTGAGGCCATCGATCCAACGGCTCCACCCACAGCGCCCAGGGTGTCTTCGGCAGACAGGCGAAAGGCGGCAAAGGCATCCTCCTCGCCTCCCCGGAGAAAAATTACAGGAAAGCCCCATGGGAAATCATGGGAAAATCAAGGGTTTCCTGTAGATTTTCCCTTAAACCAATCCATTGACAATCATGATCAACCTATATTACATATATATATATATGATTCTATATGTAAAGGCTGTGGTGGTGGGGGGTGGTAGTTATGTAAATTGGTAGTTAACAGATATATGTATGCCGTATAGTATGCGTATAGTATATAGTGATTTTTTTAAAACAAAATACATACGGTTGTATATAATGTATAGAGGTATAGGCATGCAATGGGTAGTACACTGGGTATGTATTAGGTTGTACAAGGTATCTATTAGGTGTGTAGTGTTAGGTACATAGTGTTAGGTTTTCTGTATGTAAAATTTAGTAGTGTTAGGTACGTATAGTATATGCCTTATATACTACATATATAACATATATATATATAACGTATACATATGTATATGTATATATATATGTATATACATAGATGTTATATGATGTTATGGACCCCCCAACCCATGTTACGTCTTCTTTGCATGCTTCCATCTACTGCCCCCATATGAGATCTTCCCTTCCCCCCCTGTGGCTGGTAGTGTCCCCCCCCAACCCATTGGTGGGGGGTGGGGGGTGGAGAGACGAAGGACGGGACCATATATATTGTCATCCCCAAAATAGATGGAAAAGTAGATCATAATCGAATTAGTAGAGATTTGCATCTATTGGGGATGACTATGTATTTGTAAATTCATGTAAATTCAATGCTTCAGAATGGCAAAAATTGTGAGTCCATTAGCACCACAAGTTTGGCCCCCATAGAATAATTCGCGAGCACACAGGCAAAAGGGCAGCCATTGAGCCACTTTGGTGAGATCTTGTGAAATCAGAATAGATTTTAAACATCCAAAATGCTTCAATTCCAGCTTGGCTTTCCTCGCTTTGATTGTCTTGTCTAATAGGGAAACCCCAAATCCCATCCTTTTCCGCTACACCCCCAAACGATCAGTCACGATGCAGTTGCGATCTGTCTGAAAATACGGTACCCCGCAAATTGGATGGCAAAAGAAAACATAAACCATGATCAACCACGGTAGTTCTGGAGGTTTTTGCAAAATGGGGGCCTCCCTGGCCACCCCGCTGGTCCTTCAGCTCCATCAACATTCAAACCACTGACCAGTAGGGAAAATTCTTCAAAGTTTAGGAGGCCGTCACCCTCCTAACAGAACGGCCGTGGCTGAGTCACTGAGCACTGTGAAATGGATGGCTAGGAATCTTGGCTATGCTTCGCGGTCAACATGATTCAACTCTTCTATTTTCAATGGTAGCCTATTTTGAACCATCCACGGAAAGGGTCTTTAGCCTTACCCGCATATCTATATCTATTCTATATATATATACATACCATATATAATAATATATACTATATCTATATACATATATTATTATATATTGTATATATATATTATTATATATATATAATAGTTACACAGTATATCTACAGTGTATATATATAGTGCAAGTCCGAATCAAAGGTCGGGTCTGAGCTGGTCCTTGTCTACGAGCTGGAAAAGCTCATCGATGCGCGACTCAGGCACCTCCACATCATTGACACATGCCTCTATTATCTCTATATATATATAATAATAATAATAATAATTTATATATATATATAATAATAATTAATAATAATTATTATTTACCAATAGCATTAATTTCTTTATATAATTATTCCCATAGTGACATATAATGACCATATATTACCTACTTCTGAACATAATATTCCTTATACAATACTCTTCAAATACATGTTGAAGATTCTTCCGTTTTTGGATTCCAAGATTCCTCAGGACATGACGACACCGCGCCCCTCGACACGTTGTGGAACCTCTTCACCCATTAACGGCAAGGCTTCCTTCAGCTCGGAGGAGTCGATCCAGCCGCTCTTGTTCTGCGACATCCGAGCCAACGCGGTATGAAAATAGTACTACCAGTGATATGTACAGATATAATACGTATAGAAAACATATGAAAACATCAACAAAATCGATTGTAGTCTGAGACATATAGACTTAGTATCCGTTTTTTCCAGGAAAAAAATAAGGTCCATGAATTTTGGAGATTTCTCCTGGAAAACTAACCTAGTCATCGCAAGGTTCAGATGATCAGGCCTGTAAAAAAATGAAAAAACATGTAGAACAGGTTCTGAAAGTATTCCATCCCTTGTGCAAAGACAAGTCCCAGCGTTAAACTGGGTTCAAGACACCCTCCTCTCTGCTAATGATGTGGCTATGGGTCAAAACGCTGGTACCCTAGGTACCATAAAATAGCTGGTCAATGGATTGTTATTTTCCCAAATATGGTGATAATGGGTTTCGAACCATCCCCATGTCCTTGTCAAACAAGCGGAAGGCTTTCCGAAGATCTTTCTCCCTTCGCCGAAACAGCGCTCTGCAGAGTGCTGTGGCCTGGAAGGACAAAATCGAGGTTTCGAGTTTGAGTCCCATGGACATGGAAATCAAAACTCGACCGTTTCAACTTTATGGTACGGGCGTACACAGTGTACATGTCGGAATTTGAGGCTCTTTCCCATTCATCGGAGTAGCCGGCGTTGCGCATTTGGTGAACGACGTTGACAGCCTGAAGTGCATGGGTCTTGCAGCGGGGTCGAGAACAGCACCACGTGAAGCGTGTCTCTGATGCTTAAAGAGGTTGAACATACAAGTACAGTACATCTCTGTAGCCAAAATATAACCCAAACACCAGCAATGAAAATGCAGCAGGACTGCTTGAAATGCAAATGGCAGTCAAAGAAAGGAGACATGGCAGCAGAATTATCTGCGGTGCAACACGATGCTAGCCCTGCCTTCACTAGGCTGTTTCGGCCCAAAGCTTTTGACACAACTGAGTAGGTGTCGAGCCTGAGTGCAACTAAGTGGCAGGAAGAACGGACAGAGAATGCTGGACAGCCCTTTTCCATGTACCTTGCTGAAATTTGTTGTGCGCATGTTTTCTTATCAAATTCAGCAGTATTCAGCAGGATTGCTTGGCAACATTCTCAGAAGCCGGCAAGATCAAGGCTCTCTCCATAATCTGTCAGGATGCCAACACATGGCGCACACGCACACACCTCCTACCGCCGCCCAAAAGGGCCCTAACCATCTCCTACAGCCGGGCACCAAAACTTCTTCTGCGAAATTTGAAAGAAAACATCTTATGCATGCGTACATGTATATACAAATATACATATACATATCATTATCATTACATATTATATCTATATACATATGTAACATGATTGTAGACAGAGAGAGAGAGAGAGTACGTAAAATGTTTGCATATTAATTAATTATATCTACGAAGTCCATATATGTCCTTGATATCATGTCATAATATCAATGTAAAACCTTTCTTACAGATACCAGCGAGACGGATTGCAAGAACAACCATTCGCTTGGACCTCGCTATCCTGCTCTTCATCTCGCCGCAAACGGCCTTACCAGCGAAAAGTCAGCACATGCATGATACCAAAAAGAGAATATTATTTGATGATTATGTATAAATAATGTATATATATATATATAATTATCTATATATATACAATGACATAGATGATGCACATTGTATTTATAATACATATATATATATATCAGTGTATATATATATATAGTAATATATACATACAATAATACATATATATATACATACAATAATACAAATAATTATATGTATATATACGTATGGCTAAATCATATTGATTCACCAAGCTGAAAAATCGCCTTCAATAGGGCGATCTGGGGACGCTGACACAATGCCCGGTAGCCTTCGTCGCCCAGCGTCACTTGGATGGAGGGCACCGTCTGGTCCTTTCGCTGGACACCACTGGAAGATGACGCCTGGCGGTCACTTCTGGGCTGAAGAACCATAGATTTGGATTATCATAAAGCTCACATATTCATGCAGTATTATGAAAAATACATATTGAATCATATTGATACCCACAGATTGTCATAACCCAGGATTCATAACAATTCATAACCCCCCAGGTTTATTTCATTTGGGTGGTACCTTTTTTCGTAGTAGTCTATGACTACTTTGGGGTGGTAACCTCGTAATCCGGGTTGGCATCTTGACGGTCATTGATGGTCGATGTTACAACCGTGGGCCATTGGTTCAGCCAAGCCATTGGGACCTAAAACCGGGGACATAATGTGTATAATATATATATATGTGGCAGGGACCTTTTGGTATAATGCGACCGTCCTCCTTTCTGATCCCATTTGTTTCCATACTTGTCTCCTTGTCTGTTCCCAACTTGTCTCCTTATTTCTCTATCTCCATTGCGATTCTTCTCTCTGGGTGCTTTCGGTCAAAGGAATCTCCCCTTGTCTCCCGTTCCTCACTTCTCTCTCCATTGCTCAGTGTTCTTCGTTCTGGTGGCTTTGGGACAGGACTCAAGTCCCATCTGTTTTCGTACTCGTCTCTCTACTTCACTCTCACATGTGGCTGTTCTCTCTGGGTGCTTCCGGGGCACAGTATGCTCCTTGTCCTCTGTCTGTCTATGTGCTTGTCCCCCTTGTTCTCTCCAACTCATGCCCTTACTTCTCTCTCTCTCTCTTGCTGTTCTTCTCTCTAGGTGCTTATTTGGACACATGATTCTCTCCGGTTCCTCACTTGCCCTTTCTTGTTCCCTCCAACGTGTATCCTTAATCCCCTCCCCATTGCTGCTGCTGGGAGAAGAATGGATTTCCTGGCCTCTCGTGTTTCTCCCTGCCTTTTTTCCTTTGTTCAGGTCACATTCCCTTACCCTCAGTCTCTACCACGTGTTACCCTACTTACCTTCCTACTTGTCTCCAACTTGTCTCCTTATCCTCTCTCCACTACCGTGCTTCTTTCCAGGTCTCCGGCATTTGGGACGGAGAGGATAGTTTTTCTCCTCTTTCCTTTCTTTCCTTCCTTGTCCCTGTAGTCTTTCCCAGCGCTTTCTTCACTTCTCTCCTCATTCCTGTTGTTCTCGCTTTTGGGACCCAAGATTCCCCTTGTCTCCCATGTGTTCCCATCTGTGTCCTTATTTAGCCAATTTTTTCCTACTTGCTGTTTTGTCTAGGCTTTAGGACCTCTTCATTTCTTTTTGTCCCTCCCTGTTACTGTTCTTCTTCCTGGGTGCTTCTGGGCACAGGATACTCTTCGTGGTGCTCGATGGCAAAGGATTCTTCTTGCCTCCCATTTGTTTCCATACTTGTCTCCTTGTCTGTTCCCAACTTGTCTCCTTACTTCTCTATCTCCATTGCGATTCTTCTCTCTGGGTGCTTTCGGTCAAAGGAATCTCCTTGTCTCCCGTTCCTCACTTCTCTCTCCATTGCTCAGTGTTCTTCGTTCTGGTGGCTTTGGGGACAGAACTCAAGTCCCATCTGTTTTCGTACTCGTCTCTCTACTTCACTCTCACATGTGGCTGTTCTCTCTGGGTGCTTCCGGGGCACAGTATGCTCCTTGTCCTCTGTCTGTCTCCGTGCTTGTCCCCCTTGTTCTCTCCAACTCGTGCCCTTACTTCTCTCTCTCTCTCTCTCTTTCTCTCTCTCTCTCTCTTGCTGTTCTTCTCTCTAGGTGCTTATTTGGACACATGATTCTCTCTGGTTCCTCACTTGTCCTCCCTTGTCCTCCCTTGTTCCCTCCAACGTGTATCCTTAATTCCCTCCTCATTGCTGCTGCTGCTTGGAGAAGAATGGATTTCCTGGCCTCTTGTGTTTCTCCTTAACTTTTCTTCCTTTGTTCAGGTCACATTCCCTTACCCTCAGTCTCTACCACGTGTTACCCTACTTACCTTCCTACTTGTCTCCAACTTGTCTCCTTATTCTCTCTCCACTACCGCGCTTCTTTCCAGGTCTCCGGCATTTGGGAGGGAGAGGATAATTTTTCTCCTCTTTCCTTTCTTTCCTTCCTTGTCCCTGTAGTCTTTCCCAGCGCTTTCTTCACTTCTCTCCTCATTCCTGTTGTTCTCGCTTTTGGGACCCAAGATTCCCCTTGTCTCCCATGTGTTCCCATCTGTGTCCTTATTCAGCCAGTTTTTTCCTACTTGCTGTGTGGTCTAGGCTTTAGGACCTTCAGGTGGTTTTGGGGGCCATAAACATTACCGAGTCCCTCATTTGTGTCCCTTCCGTCACCGCCTTCTTGCAGTCTCCTCTCTTCATTTCTTTTTGTCCCTCCCTGTTACTGTTCTTCTTCCTGGGTGCTTCTGGGCACAGGATACTCTTCGTGGTGCTCGATGGCAAAGGATTCTTTTTGCCTCCCATTTGTTTCCATACTTGTCTCCTTGTCTGTTCCCAACTTGTCTCCTTACTTCTCTATCTCCATTGCGATTCTTCTCTCTGGGTGCTTTCGGTCAAAGGAATCTCCTTGTCTCCCGTTCCTCACTTCTCTCTCCATTGCTCAGTGTTCTTCGTTCTGGTGGCTTTGGGGACAGGACTCAAGTCCCATCTGTTTTCGTATTCGTCTCTCTACTTCACTCTCACATGTGGCTGTTCTCTCTGGGTGCTTCCGGGGCACAGTATGCTCCTTGTCCTCTGTCTGTCTCCGTGCTTGTCCCCCTTGTTCTCTCCAACTCGTGCCCTTACTTCTCTCTCTCTCTCTCTCTCTTTCTCTCTCTCTCTCTCTTTCTCTCTCTCTCTCTTGCTGTTCTTCTCTCTAGGTGCTTATTTGGACACATGATTCTCTCTGGTTCCTCACTTGTCCTCCCTTGTCCTCCCTTGTTCCCTCCAACGTGTATCCTTAATTCCCTCCTCATTGCTGCTGCTGCTTGGGAAAGAACGGATTTCCTGGCCTCTTGTGTTTCTCCCTGCCTTTTTTCCTTTGTTCAGGTCACATTCCCTTACCCTCGGTCTCTACCACATGTTACCCTACTTACCTTCCTACTTGTCTCCAACTTGTCTCCTTATTCTCTCTCCACTACCGCGCTTCTTTCCAGGTCTCCGGCATTTGGGAGGGAGAGGAAAGTTTTTCTCCTCTTTCCTTTCTTTCCTTCCTTGTCCCTGTAGTCTTTCCCAGCGCTTTCTTCACTTCTCTCCTCATTCCTGTTGTTCTCGCTTTTGGGACCCAAGATTCCCCTTGTCTCCCATGTGTTCACATCTGTGTCCTTATTCAGCCAATTTTTTCCTACTTACTGTGTGGTCTAGGCTTTAGGACCTTCAGGTGCTTTGGGGCCATAATTGCAGTCTCCTCTCTTCATTTCTTTTTGTCCCTCCCTGTTACTGTTCTTCTTCCTGGGTGCTTCTGGGCACAGGATACTCTTCGTGACTCTTCGTGGCTGCTCGATGGCGAAGGATTCTTCTTGCCTCCGATTGGTTTCCATACTTGTCTCCTTGTCTGTTCCCAACTTGTCTCCTTATTTCTCTATCTCCATTGCGATTCTTCTCTCTGGGTGCTTTCGGTCAAAGGAATCTGCTTGTCTCCCGTTCCTCACTTCTCTCTCCATTGCTCAGTGTTTTTCGTTCTGGTGGCTTTGGGGACAGGACTCAAGTCCCATCTGTTTTCGTACTCGTCTCTCTACTTCACTCTCATATGTGGCTGTTCTCTCTGGGTGCTTCCGGGGCACAGTATGCTCCTAGTCCTCTGTCTGTCTCCGTGCTTGTCCCCCTTGTTCTCTCCAACTCATGCCCTTACTTCTCTCTTTCTCTCTCTTGCTGTTCTTCTCTCTAGGTGCTTATTTGGACACATGATTCTCTCCGGTTCCTCACTTGCCCTTTCTTGTTCCCTCCAACGTGTATCCTTAATTCCCTCCTCATTGCTGCTGCTGCTTGGAGAAGAATGGATTTCCTGGCCTCTTGTGTTTCTCCTTAACTTTTCTTCCTTTGTTCAGGTCACATTCCCTTACCCTCGGTCTCTACCACATGTTACCCTACTTACCTTCCTACTTGTCTCCAACTTGTCTCCTTATTCTCTCTCCACTACCGCGCTTCTTTCCAGGTCTCCGGCATTTGGGAGGGAGAGGATAGTTTTTCTCCTCTTTCCTTTCTTTCCTTCCTTGTCCCTGTAGTCTTTCCCAGCGCTTTCTTCACTTCTCTCCTCATTCCTGTTGTTCTCGCTTTTGGGACCCAAGATTCCCCTTGTCTCCCATGTGTTCCCATCTGTGTCCTTATTCAGCCAGTTTTTTCCTACTTACTGTGTGGTCTAGGCTTTAGGACCTTCAGGTGCTTTGGGGCCATAATTGCAGTCTCCTCTCTTCATTTCTTTTTGTCCCTCCCTGTTACTGTTCTTCTTCCTGGGTGCTTCTGGGCACAGGATACTCTTCGTGACTCTTCGTGGTTGCTCGATGGCGAAGGATTCTTCTTGCCTCCCATTGGTTTCCATACTTGTCTCCTTGTCTGTTCCCAACTTGTCTCCTTATTTCTCTATCAAAAAAAAATATGTATTCACTTTTTTTTTTGAATTTTTTGAATTTTTTGAATTCAAAAAATTCAAAAAATTCAAAAAAAAATGAAAGTCCCAAAAAGAAAGAAATGGAATTCAAAAAATTCAAAAAATTCAAAAAATTATGTATTCATTTTTTTTTGAATTTTTTGAATTCCATTTCTTTCTTTTTGGGACTTTCATTTTTTTTTGAATTTTTTGAATTTTTTGAATTCAAAAAATTCAAAAAAAAATATGCATTCACTTTTTTTTGATTTTTTGAATTTCAAAAAATCAAAAAAAATTATGTATTCACTTTTTTTTTGAATTTTTTGATTCAAAAAATTCAAAAAATTCAAAACAAAAAAAATGTATTCACTTTTTTTTGAATTTTTTGAATTTTTTGAATTCAAAAAATTCAAAAAAAAATGAAAGTCCCAAAAAGAAAGAAATGGAATTCAAAAAATTCAAAAAAATCAAAAAAAAATATGTATTCATTTTTTTTGAATTTTTTGAATTCCATTTCTTTCTTTTTGGGACTTTC